ATTTCGGTCGATTTTATTAAACTTTTCACGATCTTTGAGCAAGGGATCCGCCAGAGATGGTGAAAGTCTGAAATTGCTACTCGGGTTCGTGTAGAAGTTGCGTATTTTTAAATGGGGGAGTGCACTTAGGTTAAAACTTCCAGTTTGAATCCGGTATGCGCTAAGCTGGGAAAAATCAAGATTTCTGCCGATTTTTATTAAACTTTTCCTGTATATGAGGCCTCATGTCTTCGAACGATGATGAAAGTCTCACGTTCCTACTGATATCAGTTTCAAAGTTCCAGATTTTTAAGCGGGAGAGCGCACTCCTGGTTAAAACTTTCATTTTGAATTCGATATGCGTTAGGTTGGGAAAAATTACGATTTTTTAGACTACGGCCCATTGTAATAAAACGTTTCACGTATGTTGCGCCAAGTGTCAGCTAAAGATGGTGAAGGGTTGAAGTGATTACTGTGTTGAGTTTGGAAGTTACACCTTTTTAACCGAAATAACACAGTTGGGTGAAAACGTCCATTTGGAGTGCAATGTTTATTAAGATCCCACAAGTGTGAATTTCTGGTAATTCCGTTGAAATTTCACCTGTGCTGAAAGCCAAGTGTGGCCTCCGGATGGTGAAAGTTTCAGGATTCTACTCAGGTTAGTTTGGAAGTTGCGAATTTTTGAAGTAAAAAAAGCATGTGAGAGAAAACGCCCATTTAGAGTGCGACATTTCTTCAGATCTCAACTGCCTGCATTCCCGGTGATTTTATTAAACTAAGTAATAAATGGGAGATCACCACTAAGATGATTTAATAATTTAAATTGACTTTACGCAAAGCAGACCATGAACCTTGTGACCACTACCTAGACCGCTTATCGGAATTCAGGTCTCAGTTAAGTATTAATACTTTACGTATAGGTTTTTAATGGATTTAGTTCTACAGGTCACTACAGCAATATTTGAAACTTGCCAAAATTGCCAAATCAAACAATGCCGTATTCTAGCTTGTAGCCACATAAATACCATTATTTAGTTTTCCTTATTAATATGCTGTTAACCACTTTGTTGGAAAGTGCTGACTGATTTAGTTTTAATATTTTTAGCAGTATACTTTATGAATTCAAAAGTATTATATTTTCTATTGGATCGAAACAATTAATTTGGTTGGTACTTTAGAATGCATTTACTTTTTAAAACGTTTACACATATTGAGGGAAATGGTTTTTGATGACTACAGCTTATCCAGAAGAATTAACGAAGTTGTAAGTTTAGGTTTGCGACTCACTGTTGGCGTCAATCACAGTGTTCAGTAAGCAGAAATAATGGAAAAACAATAATTTTAATGGTTCATGCTTAAAAAGATATACATATAACGTAGATATGTACGTACAGGCCTATTCAGATAAACAAATACATTTTTAAAAAGCATAATTTTATGGAGAAGTGGAAGACCGCCGGGGTCCATATTTAACCCAATCACCAGATTCAACCCGACATTGCAATTTTAAAATGGAATACCCTGTAAACTAGTATCTTATTCGTGTCAACGAACAAACGAAAAGTTTCACCGAGTTTCATTTTACATAAAGCTTACAATTTCTGAGAAACCTACAAAAATTATTCTAAGACTTTCAAGTTGCCCCAGAAATTTGTTCAAACATTTGCACGGTAATAACTTGCTTAATTTGAAGGGAGCAGCGTGCATTTTATGACAAGAACAGATAAAAAATACAATTTTATATTAAAGACTATAAAGTTTTCCTATACGTAATCCCCAGTTTAGCAAGGAAATTGGTTATTTTCAGGATTGATGCGTTAAATGGTGTTGTTGGGTTATGTTATAGAGTATTTTTCTACATATTTCCATAAAAAATATCGAGCAGTCAAATCAGGTGAGTGCGGAGAACAGTTTTGACAACAGCTAAACAGCATAACAATTTTGTTTTATAGCCCGGCGGAACATTTATAAAACGTAGGCTTCAAACATGCCGATTAATCGGTTGTTAATTGTATTTGGAAAGCCATAAATATTGCCGTATAATCGGTTGTGGCTTGCGTAAAGGAATGGAAAATTCTGTAAGTCTACAATAAGGTGATACTCAAGCAGCTGGAAATACGATTATTATTTGATTACAAATATGCCATTTTATAACGAAATTGAACGGTTTTTTAAAGGACAACAAGAACAAATTCAAACTAGGTATAGTTTTTAGTAAGGAAAGCACCGACCTATTTATACACGGGGATAAAAAAAATAACTCTGAACGTGGGTGTCTAGAGAGTACGAAAAAAGGTCTTTACAAAGAATAAAAAATCAATTTTCTGCACTATTCGGTCATTTATTTGATCCATGGATTGTATGCTTTTTGTACTTCTTATTCACTATCAACGATATTCCGCTGCTACCTCTCTCTTCTATTGACACCTGAGTGTACTCGTATATAAGTAACCATGTTTTTTCTTCGGGGCCTTGGCCCTTCTTGGTCTTGGTCCACGCCAGTTTTAATGTTTGTTGATTTCTCTGAAAACTTGGTATTTCTTGGTTGAAATCTTGAATGTTCCACATTCCAGATCTTATAATCCTTTTCTTTACCAAATGTCGTGGTCTATAATTTCCGTCCGTTTCTGAAGCTCTGTTCAGAAATTTGCGTTGTTTATATTTTGTCCAAGTGATGGAGTGCAGGTCCATCGTATCAACCCCCAACCTGTATGACCAGGCAGCTGTTTTCACCGCGTTTCCTCCTCATAAACTGGCAGTCTTTCTGGACTTTGGAGACGAGTTATCTTCTCACCATAGGCTCTTCTGTTCTCTTAACTAAATTGAAATAGCATGTATTTCCCGACTCTCAAGACCATTGATTGCAGGGCTTTTGGGCTGTACCCTAGGCAGCCCCACAGGGTGCTATCATCTGCTGGAGCAGCTGGACGCCGGTTCTTTAGCGGAGTGTTAAGCCCGTGTCCCATGCATCCATCCGTTCGTACGAATTGACAGATCTCCAACCAATAGAAACACTTTCGTACCATCGTATCATCGAACAAACGGGCTTTACTCGCTGATCAATCCCTCCTCATTCCTTTTGTCTTAAGTGGACGGGCTCCAGGCTGGGGACTGGCGTAGCGGATGTTAATTTATCTGGTACGAGCACCTCCAAAAAATGAATGGAAATACAGTTGAGTCCGGATATAACGAACTTGAAAAATGAACTGAAACTGGTTAGTTATATCCGGAGTTCGCTATAAGCGAATAATAATACAAAAACACGTGGTGTATTTTATTTTGTTATTTTTACATAGAGTAGTAGAAGTTAGTAGGTATTACTAAAATTAACACAAAAAAATAAACAAAATTCAATTTGAAATCTACTTCATAAAGTCTGTAATTTTTATTTGTACATTTCTGCTGCAAAAATCGATGTTATTTATGTGGTTTTCAAAATCACAAAAGTACTCCCAGATATGATTAGGAACTTGGCGTGATTGTAGAAAATTCCGCGTTTCTGACACTTTTTTTATCATTTCAAAAATGGTTGGAACAGCATTAGTGTCTACGGTAGAATACGTTTCACCTAAATCGTCATTTTTCTCATTATCGCTTGGAGGTGTAG